TCTTGATCCAATAATCATTAGCTCTGTTTTAGCAACATTTAGACTGAGCTTGTTAGCTTTCAGCCAACAGCTAAGGTTATTTAATTCAGGGGTTAGAGCTAGCTTAAGCTCTGTTAACGTCTTAGCAGATAACGTAAGGTTGGTGTCGTCGGCAAACATTCTTGGTACGGCGCCCCGCAGGGAGTTGGGAAGATCATTAATGTAAATTAAAAATAGCAAAGGACCCAATATGCTACACTGTGGTCGCTTACGGGAGGTGGTCACTTACGAGAGTCGGACCGCAAGGGCGAAATTTTCAAGTCAACCTAGAATGAAGTGGTACCATATTTATTTTAAAAAAAAATCATGAAAGTTTACTGTTTCCTGCCAATTATAATTACTGGTAGTTATATTGACAAAATCATTAGCTATTCTTTTTTACAGTTCATTTAAGGAAGTGCACTTAATTAGATAAAGCGCGTTATAAATTTGAGATTAAAAAATTTTACCTATGTACGTGACTTCTTGTACTGTTCTTTGCTTGAATAGTCTATACCACAATCATATTTTCAATAGACCCAGCAAGTGTATGTTAAATAAAAAGAAAAGTAATGTTTATAGCTATTACTGAGGACAGTATTGATATAAGTTGTGGGAAAACCTGAATATACATATAGTACCACTATTAACAGCTGTAAAAGACGATTATTACCTAAAGCTTTTTAAAAGAATTGTTCAAGTTATTATAGAATCGAGGGCATGAGATAGCATTCTGGTAGAAAAAAAAAGATATCAGATTCGTGATGTTTTAAAGGGGAATAAATAATTTTTAAAAAAGAATTGAAAAAGAGAAAGCATATTATATATCTTAGAGCTCTGAAGGACAAACAACCTTTCAACAGAGAGATTTTTTCATTTACTAAGAAGTATTAATACTTACTTTAGTGTACGTTATATTAATATTTTTCTTTACATACTTTAAATGCGTTGTGGACTGTATCGTAGAAAATGACAAAAGCTTAATGAATGTACATTTAGGCGTTCAAAAGAGGAAAATTTGGTGATATTGTTATATGTTTTTTTACTGCAAGCTAAACTGAACCACGAAAACACTAATATTGGGAAACTGAAAAATGACGTCTCAAAACTGTTTCTTAGTTCTTGATCAGGTAAGAATTCTTCTGTTCTTTTAGCTGTTCTCTCTACAGGTCTGCAAGGTGGTAGAGAAAAGGTAAAGTTCAACAAAATAAGTTCGGGTAAATCAACAAAGAGCTAAAAAAACGCTACACTCACAGGAGCCGATCTAGAAAATTCAGAAAGGGGCGGCCGGCACACTTGCAGCTATATAGATAATATTTATTTTACGTACTGAGAATTCTTCTTCTTCTTTCCGCACAGAAAAAGGGGTGGCCGCGGTCAACTCATCCGAACCAGTGAATCTACTCATCGATCACTGGTTAAATATTTTCAACACTAGATGAGAAATTTCCTTTCTTCTCGCGGCCATGCGATATCCTCAATACAAACCGAGGAAATCCAAATTACATTATTCAAGAAAAGTAAACTGAGGCAAGATGATCATTTTATTGACATTACAGTTTTTATCTTGGAACGCCGGATACCTATTAACAGTACCCGTTCTGTATAGTTCCTGAGACGCTAACCACAATCCTGATGGAAAAAATGCCATTACGTGATAGTTATTTATGTGCTATTTATATTTTACGCTTTAATTGGTGTATTTGCTCTTAAGAATTCTAAGCCTACACAATCTAAGGACCGAGTTCGAGTTTGGTGAATTTGCTTTGAGCAAATTAATTGGCATCCAAGCCTAGAATCAATTTATCCGTGACGAAATGCGGCGCAATGAAAGAGAATAACCGTAATAGTGCGCATTTTGTAGTTGGAGAGACATTAAAGCAGGTAGGGTTGGAAAAATATATTTTAATGAACTACTTAGGCCTAACTACTTCAAATATTTAGCTTTTGAGGGGCGCGGTCGTTGTAGACATCCAGTTCAAATCCCATCAGGATAGTGGTAACATAATTACTCTACATCGTAGCCCACCAGTTAAAAAAAAGAACGAAATAAAACTGACTTTTAAAACAGGGGAAACACAATTACTGATAAACCAGTCACTAGTTTTCATTGTGGCCCACAAGGTTAAGAATCCTAACTGGCCAGAGGCAAACCAGTTGGCTATTTGAACTCTGAACTACCGAGAACAAATCCAGCTATATTAAAACAGGGCGTAAACTCGGTACTTCCCGATTACAAGTTAGCGCTCAGCCATGCTGCCTTCCCACGTATTTCTTGAAATGATAAATATTTCCTCTCTATTTATTACCGACTTTGATGTTTACCATCTTAGTGTCATATTTGAACCTGGTATATGTCCTAAACCTCCATGAAACACCCCGTACCTTGGTGGTTAAAGTCGATCGGTTACAGGAGATCACATAAGTTCCTACCTCGTAAGGAATCCACTCTAGTATACAGTATAGACTGTAAACTGTCCTATAATGATCGTTGTAAAAGATAAACCCTGTGATTGACTCTCTTCCTACCCGGGGAGATGCATGTAGTATTAGGACCCCCTCGGCCTTCTTCATGCTACCATATGAGTATGTTATTTTCAATCTGCATTTTAGCTGGAAATCTGCGAAATAAAGAGCTAAGTGCGTAGCGAAAGGTTCTCAAGCACATGCAAGAGAACGCTTTCTTCACGTAAAATTAGGGTCCTTGGGGTCCGCGTTCGAGAATCGCTGGCGAGGTACAATGTCTCTCGGTAGCTAATAGCTAGTAGGCATAAGCGAGTGGATTAGACCCTAGTTTACGTTACCCTCATTAGTATACCTTCATTAGTAAGGTCTGCTCTTTTGCACATAGCCCGCGAGCAAGCTCCTTTTCGGGGATATCGTGAAAAGTGGATGCGCGAGAGGCTCGCTCACGCGTTTTCACGCGACTCGCCTCGCTAGCCCAAATAGGAAGTTCAAGTTCAAGTTCATTTATTCACACGCAAGCTATTTTTCACAAGGTGATTGCCCACGAGTACAAATTGTTTTTTGAAAGAAATTATTGGACGCTCATTGACATCTGCCCCTCTCTCCTAAGCTGTTCTTCTACTCTGCAGTTGGTCCCGAATCTTATTCAGATTTTTGCTCAGTGATTTCGGTCTTTTCTTAGAGTTAACGAGTTCAGTGGCACAGGTACTTGCTTTTCTTTCTCTTGAATGGTTAAATCATTCTTGCACGTACACCTAATTGCAGTAACGTTGTCATAGAAAAATGTAAAAACGAAAAGATGTAAATTAAAAGAGCCAAATAGGAATTAATTTTACTTACAAATAAACCACTAAAGGGTGCATGCATTTGCAACATAAGCGTACAGCCTACTCATTTTCTTTTGTTTTTTACGCCTCAGAGAGGCCTATGCTGTAAATATATAGTGGTTTACTCATAAGTAAGCCTAGATAATTCACATCTGGCTATCTTCCTTTTTTCACTTTTCAAGGACAACGTTATTAGAAATTCAAATTGCGAAGAGTTCTGGTATCACATCTATTGCTTTTCTGCCTCACAAAAGGAGAGGGTAAAGCGGGGAAATTGAACATGCCCTCGCTCTTTCTAAATAAGGACCGGCCCCTTTAAAGTCGTTGCCTTGTTTTCTATTGCCTCAAGGGAAGATAGAGCAAGCTGAGAAAAGGATTACATTTCTCGATTGACTCTTTTTATCCCTGAGAAAATCCACATCTCCGTGAGTTCTGTTTCACGGCTACAATACGTCTACTTTCAGTGGTAAAATTTCCTGTTGATGAAAACACATTTCAGTAAAGGAAGTACTAATAAAAATAAGGGATCTCCGCTTTTAAATTTTCCTATATAAATGTTCGAACATTTCTAACATTTAACGAGACTGCATGGCGGATGAGTCAGTAGATGAATTAAACAAACTCGCATCCAGATGCCTTCTTTATTGTCACTAAGAATAACTATAAACATATAATAGTCTACTTCCTTGCGGCCATAAACGCTTCTGATCAGTGAAGCACCTGCCTATAATTTTAACCAGTCAGGTGCTGCACCTAACCATAATTTTAACCAGTCGAGTGATAACAGTTTACACAAGTCAATTTGCACTCAGCGTGAGATAAATGATAAATGTTTTTATTTTTTATTTATTTATTTAATCGCTTTCACCATGATTACAATGCTAGAAAAGACTAGGAAAAAAATACATTTGAACAAGACACAAAAACGAGAGACGAAGGTGCGGGACACACAACAGAGCGAAGCTCCAAATTAAGTGTGCCCTTGCGGAAAATACACAATTACTAACTATGTAAACATTAAAACATTATAAGAAGTGTAAAAATCCTATTTGCAAAAACGATAAGAATGAATCCCTCACGCAGCCGATACAAAGTCTTAGTACCAGCAGTTACCATCTAATAGAACTGAATAGAAGAATACGTGACCTACTGCATTTGCAGCAGATCGACTTCCAGGTGTTAAAGTTAGTGACTGCATAGTTTGTACGAAAAGCAGCCGAATAGCGTTGGAGTACGTGAGATTTAAACTGATTAAGAGAACTAAGAGTACGAGTGGATTCAGGTAACGTATCCCTATGCTACGCCAAACGTGACAATTTAATTTAAAAAACATTTATCTTGATTTAGAAAACGTGTCTCTTGATACATGACATGAAACACGTTGGAATTGACATCAAATTCTACAATCTTGACACATTTAAAAAGCAAATTGATGTTAATTTCATCGATCTTGATAGTCGATTGGTGGATTTGAATTATAAAGTTGCATCTTTGATATTTTGTCACGTTTGGCGTAGCATAACACAAATAACTATTCTCTCATTATCTCAGCGGTGAGAAAAGAACCTATCTAATGCGAGCTTCTGAAATAAATTAACCAAGCTGTTTAAAAGTCAAATTAGCTTCTCTTTTGGCAGATCATTCCGCATTAACGTTCATTGCTGCATCCAGTTTTGCTTTTGCTGGATAATGCTTCCATTTGTTTTATTGTTTGTGACAACTATGGCCTGTTCCATTTTTTCGCAAGACTCGATGATGTTTATAGATCGAATGCTAGAACAATTTTCTGGCACAAAGCGACCAAAACCTTCCATCAGCAAACCCAAGTGCCCAAGAGAGCTTAACGCATCATGGCTGTTAAGGCCACCGTTTACGAAAACTTCTGGTAAAAATGCAAATGAAGTAGGAGGAATGTTCCACTACGTTTTTGATCTGGCTTTGAACAAGTGTTGCGCCAAACTTAAAGCAGGAAACAAATCAAGAATCAATTTCAAAACACAACCACTAAACAGACCCCAACTTCACGACCTTGTCCTCAATAATGATCACGTTCATCTTATTCTTCCCGTGCAAAGCGATGAGGACAAATTATACAAAATGACCCTGCCTTTCATCAAAATTTTGGATTCTCCTGGAGTCGTCCTTATCCAAAGATCTAATCTAACACGGCATTCATCATGGATGATGAGTAATAGGGAAATTTGGAGTGTCATTAGCAGCTGTCTTCCCATCATTGCCTTAACAATTCTGTTGTCGTTTGTAGTAGGAATATTTGTCTGGATGATGGTAATTACTAAACATAAACTGGACCGTCTCAGTGAAATATTGATTTTCCCACTTTCTTGTTTTGCCTTTAAAATGCGTTTACTTGGTAAAATACCTTAATCGTTTACCGGGTGCCTGACGAATTTTCGACCGTTTAAAAATTCATGCGTTTAGGTGTTCCGTTCACACGGAACCTGAGGTACTCTAACCATAAACACCTAGCCGTTCAGAAATGTGGAACCCCAAAATGTAATAACTATTGGTAGCCTGCGAAAACAGCTGTTTCTCGGCTGTTTTCGCAGGCTACAAGGTTGGCGATTTTTTTAAAGCAAGTTGCGAAAATAACGAAAAATCGCAAGTCTGACGATTTTCCTCGTTAGTTGCGATTGTTCGCAGTTCTTTGTCATGTTAATGATCATTAAAGTCCAGACCGAGTTGCCGATTTGACAATTTGCGAAAATTGCAAGAGCGAAAAAATTGCCGGGTTCCGTGTGAACGAAGTGTTTGGTCAAATTTTTCAGCCGGTCGAAAAGTCGTTCAGTGACGTGTGAACATAGGCCGTCGTTCTCTACTTACTTAGATTAAGGAAAGTAGTTAGTTGAGCGCTGTTAATTAGATATAAACTCTTACGTTTCGGCAATAATTCCCTCATCAGGAAAAAATATGCAAATACGTTTAAAGCTATAAAAGGCACTTGAAAGACATAACAACTTAGAAGTAAAGCCACCATATGCAATTTAATCTTAGCCGAATGATTGAGACATGTCCTGCTAAATTCAAACAGGAAATGAAGACAAATACGGAGGAGTTCGGTAAGCCTTTTCATCGCGGGATTTTTGATGGCTTCTGGTGGGCTTTTGTTACCATGTCAACAGTCGGGTAAGCACATCTGTTCAATGTAACGGCGGCCATGCATGTTTTTGTATCCTGATTCCAAACTTGCGGATCAACAAAGGAAATAGGATACGTCGGCACGCAGGCTGAAAGACTAGGGAATGAATGTTAAGTTACCGAGGAGAAGGGGCTCTGGCTTATAAAGCGTTCTATAACTTTTGAAGGCCGGTGCTGGGCGTTCATCTGCTGTGGTTCAATTTTATCTCAATTTTGCTTTGCCTTTTGGTAATGTATTATTTGACTAGTCTCTAGGCCTCATTATTACGCGCGGCCGATGCGTTTGCGGCCACGTGGTCGGAGCGAGTTGTTTTCTCCCAGGCCTGCTCCCAGCAGTTCGTCTTCTATACGTCACCGAAATGCATTGACGGAGAGGGCCTGGGGAGACGCCATACGCCATACGCCGTTCGTCTCGGATAGGCAAATGTAATATGATGAGTTTGAAACAATGGGAAATATTATTTAAACCAAGGGATAAGATTGAATCATCTGAACGATTTAAGCGCTTTTCTTCCCACTGAAATGTAAAATGATTGATCTTAAGTATATTAATTAGAAGTTTCAATTTCGCATCAGAGCTGGAAGACAATACGGATAATACAGTTTAAAAGGAAATTAAGTGAAGAAAATGAAAATGACCCATGGTAATTAGGGTGGGTAAGCCTTATAAAATTTCTAGAGTGCCAGCAGATGATAGAGTTATGACACAGTGCGAGCACAAACTTTGAAATTTCATAGCGTAAGAGCATAGACTAAATAAAGAGATTAGTACGTATTGAACGTTAGAAGACTTATTGCATGCAAGATAAACGTCATATCTCAAGGCGGGGACAGATGTATTGAGAACTGTTGCTAGTTATATTTTTTAGGTTGGATTCATTTGTAGCTGTTTCATTTGCCTGTTGAAATTTTTTATTATATTCAAATTCGACAGTTATACGCGTATGTTGCACTATAAATCCACCCTTACTTTCTTCTTTTGCCTATGGAAATAATTTCAACAAGGACACGAACGATTAAGTGATGAATCCCGAGAAAACCAAGATATTTTTATGTGTTTGGCTGCTCTACTATGTTAACAATTTTTACTGATTCGCGAACGGAGGCGAATGGTTAATGTGGTGCTTGAGAAGTTTTCTTTTGTCTTAAAGGTTTAAAAAAAGAGCGATACACATTTTGAATCCATATGGTTACAAGCTTTTCTTTCGCCTCAATGGGCAAATCAGCGACTCATGGTCAAACTATAAGCTGAATTTCTTACGTCAACCGGAAGAGTTTTGACGCAACGATCACACTTTACGTCTCAACGGGCGAATGTGGTACCGAAGTCGCTCAGTAAGACGCAAAGCTTAGTGGTTTAATTGAGCAGCCACACACATATAACCCTCTCGTCTTCCTCGAGATCTATCACTAAAACGCCCTGGATCGAGATCGTGATGAATACTTCAGACAAATAAAGAGATCCAGAAAATAAAAAAGCACATACTAAACGTTCACCTAGCCTCGCCTAAGGCTCGCGAGGCTCGCCATAGCAATAAACCAAGCCAAGGACCGACCGCGAGTATCCCCAAAGAAAAAATTTACTTTAATGAATCTTTTTTCTTCAGTCAATTTTTTATGACTCCAGTCGCATATATAAAAATGCCGGAAAAGTGGTATCTTACACAAATTATGGCAGTAGAGCCATTTTAAATTTTTTCATTAAAAATTTTAAATGCATTATTTTTCGAAGATATGGCGACAAGACTCCGAAGTCTGTAGCTGCTCGGCTGTTCGCTGTGGGTTGGATAATGATTGGTGTAACCATCTGTTCAATTCTGACGGCCACATTGTCCAGTGCTTTGACAAGCGTTACAGTGGAGAGTGTTGGTGTGATCGCAGGAATAAAGGTACATATATAATGCATTGCCGGATCCAGACCTTGAGGTAAGGGGGGGCCAGGTCATCCAGATCCTTAAATAAGGGGGGGGGGCGGTCTCCAGAAAAATCCTTTTTCGGCCCTTCGGGCCTCCTTTCGGTCTAAAAATAAGGGGGGCGGGCCCCTCCCCTGGATCCGCCACTGTAATGCAATGAGAATTCATTTCTTGTCGTGCTCGACTTGATGCTAATAACCTCATCCTAACAGAGAGCATTGGCAATTCTCCTTATTTTATAGGTCGGTGCCACAAGAGATAGCATCGCATTGCAGAAAGCGGCGAACCTTGGTGCGAACGTAAGAGGTGATTGTCTTTTGACACCAAAACTACGGTACTACCCCGCAAGTAAGAACCTAATTTAAAAAATCTGTTAGGCTAAAATTCGTCGATTTGTTAGCCCCCCTCTGTACAAGAACCTTTTTAGCCTAAGGTTTTGAACAGGTTCTCATTTTGTTATGGAATAATGTGTATTGAAGGGGAACTTAGTTGGATTGGATCATTTGATTAGTGCTTTAATTTTTCTTATTTTTATTCATTTTTAATGATTTTTATTGGCAAGCAATTTTTTGACAAAGAGTAGGGTGAATAGCACTAGCTTCTTCCAACTACAATGTAATTTTTATTCTTCAGAAAAGAAGAACCTTTTTAAGAACCCAAATAGCCTAACTTTGTGTAAATTTGTTCAGGTTAACTCGCGGGGTAGTGCTGTATCTCAGATCTGTCTGCAGTTTACAGAGACTCGCGGTGTCATATCTATGTCCGGGTATACTGATTATATTTTATATGTACTCAGCTTTTGAAGACCTTAATGAGGTCTACGACGCCTTAACTAAGGACGAGTCGATAGAGGGAATGATGGAGGAAGTGTTTACAGCCATGGAATACATCAAGAAAAGGAACGATCCTTTGTTAACTGTCGTCCATTTCTTTGAGGAGAAGCATGGCTATGGAGTGGCATTCAAAAGCAATCCTTTTGGGGAAGAAAGCAACCTGGACAACTGCATCAAGAAAGTTGTCCAATTCATTGTAAAAGATGACAAATACGCGGTTATTTCCAAATTCGTGGGTGATATCAAGGTATGATTTTAATTACAGTCAAACCCCGTTAATGCCGTAAACGGACACTGCCAGGGGGCCATAGAAAGTGTCCGTATCAGAACGGGATGTCCGTATTGAGAGGGGTTGAATTTAGAGAAAATATAAGGGCTTTCGTTCCCCAGGAACAAAGCAAATTAAAGGATTGACTGATTGATTGGCTGACTAATTGACTAAAAGTGTCTCGATCGATTGATTGGGTGACAGACTTGCTGATTGCTTGTCTTACTCACTGAGTGACTGACTGACTGACTGACTGGCTGATTGTTTGGCCAACTAATTGACTGACTGATTAACTGCCACACTGACTGACTGACTGACTGAAAGATTGTAAAAGAGACTGACTAACTGACTGACTGAATAGCTGGCTGACTGTGCGGCTGACTGAATGACTGATTTACTGACTTACTGACTGAATAATTAATTTAATAACTGACTGACTGACGAACTGACTGGCTGGATGAATGAATGATCTTTAACGGATGATCGATTGATAAAGTGATACTAATGGGTTGGTCTTTGATCATGGACTAATTGATCAATTCATTAATGCCGAGCTAAAGCGTTCTTTTCGTGTTCCGTGAAAGCCTTTTTTTCCCCGCGATTTATGCATGACTTTTGTGAATGGCCATATCATTTTAAGTGAAAAGTGAAATGACCATTTCGCCTAAACGGTAGACTTCCACACGTCGACCTTTCAAGTTTAAGCGAGCGGAGCGAGCTTCTTAGGCCGTGAGACGGCCGAGCAAAAGACGAAGTCGCGAGGGGACCCGCGCCATATTGAATCGGACGAAATACTTTTTTGAAAGTCCACCTGGAGGGATTTGTCGCACTCGATTGTTTCATTTTACGGGTGCTTTTGTTCTTTTTGTCTAGGCCTCAAAGCGGCGAGAAGAATAAGGACTAAAATGCTTTGCTACTAGTGACGCGCCAAAAGTATTGACCCATTCTGAATCCGCCATCTACGCAGACTAGCCATTTTCTATTTGATCAAAAAGAAAATGGCGTGCCAACATAGGCGCAACGTTCTCCGCCCCCCTCCACCCCTTTGCGTCCTCATTATTCCAGGCACTAATCTAACGATTCTAATCTTTTTGTTTAATTCTACAGAATTCCGCAAAACAAAAGAAGCAGGGACTAGAGGTCAAAAACGTATTAAGTGATCTGAAATCACCAATGTTTATTACAATCGTCATTGGCCTGGGCTTAGTGTTTCTGGTATTCCTTACTGGTTTTATCTGGCATAAGTATTGCAGACTTAGACGCAAGAACACGGCAGAAAATACAAGCCATGCTAGTGAAACTGGAGAATGTTTGGGTAAGTGAAATATCATCATGATTGTAATAACAGCATTTAACGACAAATTGATCATACCAATAATCAATTTCTCGTAAAAATATTATGCTAAACTAGAATCGTCTCATTTCATTACGCTGTGTGTATCCTAGATTAAACTGCTTGAAAACCTTACTGGCATTACGCGGCGTTAGCATCACATCTTTGCAAATCTTTAAGAATTTTTCGAGCTTTATGAAAATCCTTCCCGATAAATATTTCATGTGCATTGTTTTTCAGGTGAAAATTGCAAAGGGAAATCGCCAAATGAGAAACGCTCTTCTGGGGCTTTTGAAACCGGGCCTCAATAGAATTTCTATTACAGTGCCGGCAGAACGAAGCATTGGAAACAGAAAAGTGCACCTTTTCATAGTGTTATGTTAATTGTAATAGTGTCTTATAAATGGCAACGACTGTTTAGGAAAGAGAAAATTGCCTTGTCTTAAGAGAGTGTAGAAAAGAGGTGTTCTTACTCGCCGCCAACATATTGGAATGCCAGAATACCCGGGGACTAGGTTGGATTGCGCGCAGCTATCTATCTTCCCGCGCAGGTATATTCAGTGGCGGTCAGCTGATACGTTTCCAGCCAGTGACAGTCGCTGGTGCATCTGCGTAACGTACTGTAGCTTGTATAGTCTGCGCTATATTCTAATTTTCAAAAGAGCAAGTCATAGCTATCACTGAGGACAGTATTTAGGGATATAAAGAGTCCTTGGAAAAAATGATACTACCACAAATGCCACCAAACAAGTAAAAGACGTCTTAACCTAAAGATGTTTGAAAAAAAGTTGTTCAGAATTATTGCAGACTCGAAATTTATTGACAATTGCAATAGAGCAGATTCACGTCACTGACTTTTGTATATTTGAAGTACAAATAAATTCCGCATCAATCGTGCAGGGAATACCCTGTTTGTAATAAGAGCAGTCTTGCACGAAATTATATACCCTATTTCAACATACTCAAACGAAATTATATACTCTGTTTAGGACAGAGAGGACAAAAACCATACAGCGTCTAGCGGGACATCCCCTTATAGCAAATGGGACGTCATGATTGGACATTTGCATTGCGAATATTTGGCCAGATGTTCATTGTTTACAGGCCAAGTTCAAGGGCACCCAACGGGAAATTTTGAGAAAAGGACCTAAAACAATAACCAAGCATGACTCAAAGCTTTCTGAAGTCATTTTAAAAAGTATTTTGGCAGAATGCTGGAAAAAATTTATCTGTTCCTCACTCTCAGCAAGGACTGATGGAGCAGTTCCCAGCCAGCAAGGTGCACTTACAACCTGCAACCTGACGAACCAGGAAGTTTCCCCGCAGACGTATGTCCAGACAATACTAGCCAGTTTGGGTGTGGTCCTAAGGCAAAATTCACCCACAGTGATACAGAAAGGGCAAGGGCCAACCAACTGAATTCACTGAGGTGAATTAACAAAAAAGCTTCGCTCACAGGGGCGGATCCAGAAAGTTCGGAAAGGGGTCCAGCTATGTTACATTTTTGTTTACTAAGAATTACTTGGAAACAGTAAACAAATTCACAAGAAAAAGGGGTCGCTACGGTCCACTCCGCCGACCCTTAAGTCCACCCATGATTCACAAGTGAAATATTTTCAACACTCGAAGAGACTATTCTACCTCCCCGCGGCCATGCGATATCCGCTATATAAACCCAGGAAATCCAAATGATAGTGTTCCAGAAAACTAAGGCAATGATCATTTTATTGACATTTCAGTTTTTATGTTGAAACGCCATATGTGCCTACTTACACTGCCCCGTCATTGTGCAGTTCCTGAAAAGCTGACTACAATCTTGATCGAGAAAATACCATTACGTGATGATCATGCGCGGGTGCGGTCAATACAAAATGCAGACTACACACAAATGTAGACTAGGTACAAAATACAGAATGCAGACTGCAGACTAAGTACAAAACGCAGGCTGAGAAGAAAAATAGTTTTCCTTTTTTTTTTTCTAAGACAGGGAATGTTTAGATAGCAAAATCTCAAAAAAAGCAGTAGCGTTTTTAACCCACACTTGAGAGCTATCCCGGCCGCTAGCTAAATGCCGCGTCACGCAAAGGCCTGGAAATTCACTCGTCTTCTATCGCAAAACGAAGAACCCTTTGGAACCGAAAATTTGTGTAAATAAAGGTTTTAGGTATACCTTATTACATGAAATTTTCGCGACATGTCTATTTCGCGATTTTGATTTGCGCATATTTCGCGACGCTTAAATTTTACATTTTGAATCACTTTAAATTCGCGTTTTTGAGTACAACAATTTACATTTCATAGGCAATGTTATTTCACATATCTTTTCATGTCATGGAACAATAACCTCAAAATCAAGAAAAACCAAGCAGTTCTCACAATGTCCACAAGTAGTTCATGCTTGTACCCTAATTATCAATTGACCACAACATCCATTTACTCTGAAAATTAATCAGAAAAATAAAAACCGTGACTTGTAAACGTTTCAGTGGTAATTAATAAACTCGTTCTTTCTTGATTATGGACATAATGAGAGTCGCGTCATGTTATGTTCACGACACTTATTGTTCGCGTCACTTAAATTTCGCGATTTGTTTTGTATCGCAAAATTCGTGAAATTAACGTGTCGCGAAAACTCCATGTAATGAAGTACGTAAGTTGTTTTTTTGGCGAGAAAAAAAAAAAAAAGAAAGAAAACTGTTCTTCTTCGCAGTCTGCGTTTTATACTTAGTTTGCAGTCTGCGTTCTGTATTTTGCACCTAGTCTGCAATTTGTACCCAGTCTGCAGTCTGCGTTTTTAACTGACCGTGCGCCGGTGGTAGTTTATCTTGAATCGGTGTGTTTGTTCTATAGCTAAAGAACTCTAAGCGCATACAATCTAAGGACCGAGTGCGATTTCAGTACCTAGCCAAAAGCTAAAAAGAATTCTCTTAGATAGACCTAGTGTTGCGTTAGCGCTTTAGCTTCAAGGAAGAGAACGTCATTTCCACGTACGTTGCCGGAATCAATGATACTTCCCTTGGGAGCTGCAGAATTAAACAGAACACTTATTCTTAGACTTTTCTACTCCGCAACAGTGAAATGACTGATATGACAACCTCACCTTCTCCTAACCAGATGAATAATAATAATAATAATAATAATAATAATAATAACAATAAATATATCTACAGAATATTTCGATATATTACAAATAACCAGTAAATTAGATTTATGTACTCCGAAATGGTGAAGTGAATAAAATGTCATATCGGAGTCAAACCTGCTATACTGCGGGTAAAAATTCTATATCTACAAAATTCTGTGATATGACACATGGAAGACGTAGTGTCGATCAAAATTTACCCTTCTTGCTAGTTAAGAATTTGTTCATGCTTAGCGTGCGTATATCGAGTTATGGATGCACGCGGGAAGTTTGGAGAGCACGAAAGATGCGTAAGAGTTGCACGAGGCGATAGCCGAGTGCAACTCTAGCTTCTTGAGTGCTCTCCAAACTCCCCAAGTGCATCCATAACTCGATATACGAACAGCTAAAAGCATGAGCAAATTCTTTTATAACATAGCTGACAAAAATGCTTGCTTTTTGATTAACTGCAAAATTCTCGTAACGCGCGACACAATAACAAACGATTCTACTGGCTGATTACGAACACGCCACAATCGTCTAGTTTGAATGAAAATATTCTTTCTGTAAAAGTGAGAAAGAAAATTTGCTTCTTTATTCGTTAACGATCAATGGAAACTAAGCAGAAACAAAGGTAAAAGAGTCTTAAAGTTCACCTAAAGTTAAAATACTAACATGTTCGTAAGAAGTCGTGGAGTATGGTTTGGATTTGCTGAAAAGATGTTTACGTTTTGCTCGGCGAAATCCAGAAAACATGTTTTTTAGCGAAGACGACTGTCGTCCTTCTTTAAACTTATATTCATTTACGAACATTGGCTGGTCATTACGGCTTCTTGAGAAGACCTGGCAGCAGTTGTTTTTATGAGTAATAATTTATGTCTTCTTGTGTAATTTGTGTTGTTATTGCGAGATAAATCTTCCTGGTTAAGTCGGATTGTACGGAGATAACAAAGTGCATAACAAATTTAAAAACAACAATAAAAACGGAAATTTTGCCTTTAAATGTTGTTGATGAGCAGTTGGTGTCTGTTCTGTTCCCAGTGAATGTCTTTCAGCCAAAATTTGCTGCAGCTCCTCTTCGACAAATTTACGAAACGCTCAACTTGCGAGTTTTTTTTTAATTCGGCTTTATTTTTGCTGCTTGTTGGATCGGGACCGATAGAAAAATTGGGCAGTTCTTCGCTGGTTTCTTCCATATTTTAAAGAGAAGGAAAAGTGCACTGCAGCTTAAAAAACGACAACTTTGCAGCCACGTAAAAAAAAAATGCTCACGTCATCTTATTTACGCACGGGCGTGCGTAAATAAAGATTTTGTTCATAGCGGCTCAATAGGACTTATATAGGGCAAGCACGCGCGCTATGTTATAAATTAACTTTTCTTAATTTAAGAGTGCATTTGATGAAGTTTTATTAGGGAACTTAAAGCAATCAGGACGACCATGGCAGTAAAAAACTTCACTAAATACGCAGAATTTGTGTCCTCTCAAATTTTATTTTGTTTATTTCTCGCAAAAAATGCTTCTATCTTCAGAAATACAGACCTAGGAAGAAAGAAATTCGTCGTTGTGCGTTCACGCCATCCTCCATAAAAGGTCGCTTGAAAAAAGTGCCAAAAAGTATGATGCACGTGCAGAGTTGTTGCTTTTTTACACATAAAACCAATTGTTTTTCTGACATTCCGACTGCCGTCTTTGTCGTGGTTGCTTAAGTTCCTTATTGATTGGAATCCAAGTAGAAACCGTCCCCTAAACCTCCCGCCTCAGAGGTTCCCTTGAAAAGACAGCTTGTGGGAAACTGGGACTCAATATAACGTCAGTGTCACGTGTTTTCGTTTTGGATAATACCACGCCCCACGAACTGTGCTCTCTGTCGAAGATGTTAATTGTTTTCTGGTGTTCTTTCTGCTTGTTATTCTGAGAAGCTGATGTATTGCTAATCTGAAGGTTTTGAATTATAATCTTGATGATCACCTGAAGAAAGTCTACGATTGTGTCCGTTTTAATCATAGCGCGGAGGGAACGTCGAAAAGGGAGAAGAAAAATCTCCTCTGTACGCTCATTAATGAGGTAACTGAGGCATGTCATAAGTTGTCACGTGACTGAATATTTGCCTGTGAGAGTCTCTAGCGGACTGGGGGGTGGTTTGATAAAACCCACTACACTTACTTGTTAGCTTCTTCTTCGTACACTTTGCAGCACACGTCTCGTAAACGAAACCCGCTGTCAACAGCGTGATAAAGGTCGTCAGCATTGCGTGAAGTACAGTCCAAAATCCAGGCGAGTTTCCATCCAGTAAAGTCACAACGCGGTCTGCGTCTTTGTCTGATATCTGGCGGCTCCTGGTTTCGGTCTAAAAGGAAGTTCAGATGGTAACGTATATTAAAGTGAAAACCAATCTGTTTAATTTCTTTCTCTTAAACTTAAATCACTACTCGCCAGTCTTAAAGCTTCGAAACCGCGTATTTTGAACGAATTCAGTGGATGCATAGACGGCTGTCCGTGTGATAGTGTCTCCGCAGCCTCCTTTTTTCCACCCTCGCCCCATGCCTTTTATTTTGCTACTTTTTGCCTTGAACATGACCAACCGGTAAAAGTATGACAGTTATCACATATTAAGGGGGGTGGATACCACCCTGTATGGCCCTAAACAATTAAAGGTTGTTTTCAGTTTTTTAAAAAGACTTAAAGCTAAAAGATCTACTCTTCAGTAGGTGCACACAGGAGCTAATTACTCCTGCTCTTCTTCTTCTTCTTCTTCTTCTTCTTCTTCTTCTTCTTCTTCTTCTCCTTCTTCTTCTTCTCCTTCTCCTTCTCCTTTTAATCATTATTAGTATTATTAGTTATTATTACCATTATTAATTTCCTTCGACACATTTTGGCAAAATTAATTACAGTCTACAGGAGGCAGCAGTCTGTTCCTCTGGTTACAAGATTTGACGTCATGTGTGGCATGAGGTCAAGCCACTGTTATAAATAAACGTGTTAGTTTTCTCCTTTTTGCAAGCATCATTATCAAATCTGCAATTGCTAGAAGTTTAGTTTCAATATTTACCAAATCAGTGGATGGCAATTTTCGCGCGTTTTAATTGGCTCCCGTAACCCGGAATATACTTGGCTATTCACTGTTTTTGGATGGGAGGCAATTTGTCTCCCCGTTTTGCGACGGTTTCGGAAGACGATTTGTTAGCTGCAAACGAGACAGCTGTACCAACACATACAAAGTCAAAACAAGAAGATATGATCGCCCAAAACTGTTTACATAACATACATACATACATAAAACTTTATTAATGTGTCTTGGAATGTCTAGCCGATGGGGTTAAGAACCCCTCTACTAATTGGGGACACCTAACAATATAATATGGTTACCTAACAATATAATATAGTTAAAAACCTACTAACTATCAACTAATGAAATAATTGATTTAAAAAAATTAAGAATTACAAAGGATGCAATTGGAGCAATTGTCGTCGTCTATCATTACACCTAGATCAAATTTACGAATACAATTTTTGAAACTAAATAATGATGGGAGAGTTCTGATTGCGCTTGGTAGCTTATTCCACAACTTTGGTCCCAGGTAGGTGAGCCAGTGTTTACCATATTTATTGGTCCTAAATCTGGGAATGGCGAACTCTGCCGTCCTCTAGTTGTAGGGTGAGCAATGCGCGTGAAATAGCTCGGATATTTTGATGGGGCATAGTTTGTGTTTCACCTTATACATAAGGATAGCAATACCTTGCAGTCTTCTGTTCTGAAGTTCGTTAGGTCACTTTTGTCCAGCAATGCTTGGTAGCTTGATTGCTTATCTAGGAAAACTGCGCGTAGTGCTCTTTGTTGGACCCGTTCAAGCTTTGTTTTGTCGGTAGCACTACAGAAATGCCAAGTCAGGTGGCAATAGGTTAAGTAAGGCAATATGGCCGATTTATACAGAGTTAATTTAGCATTGGTAGGGACAAGTTTTTTAAGCCTTAACATTACACCTACCCTTTGACTCGCCTTTTTACATATTTCATTAATGTGAGTGTTAAAATTCAACTGTTCATCTATGGTGACCCCTAGCAATTTAAGACAGTCAGGAGATTCGATGGTGTTTCCTTGAAAGTGTAATGGAGTGTTACTTTCTGTCTTGTTATGCTTTAAAGTCATAGTTTGATATTTGCTCAGGTTTCCTTGTAGCAGATTGCTAGCGTACCATTCGGAGGCCCTATTGGCATTCCTCATAAGATTGGTGTCAGCCATTTTCAGGTTCCCCGCTGTTTCATACATTTGATGGTCATCCGCGTATATAGAGAGATGCGAAGTTATTACGTATGCCAGATCGTTTTGAAAGATGTTCCATAACAATGGGCCAAGGGCCGATCCTTGTGGACAACCCCTATCTGTACGCTTCCATCCACTTCTGAAAGCTCCCAGTTTCACTCGGTTCAGTCGATTACACAGGTAAGATCGAAGTAGATCACATAGTTCGTCATTAAAACCATACGCTTTTAATTTGCAGATCATTAAGGACGGATGAAGCGAATCAAAAGCCTTACTCAAGTCGGTAGATAAGATTTTAACAATTTGCTGGTTATCACGTGCTGATTTCCACGCTTCAATAAGACTTATCAATGTTGTTTCACAACTGTGGCGTTTACGATATGCCGTAATTCGGGGACCCAGACGGCTGTCAAATTGCTTAGAAATCTGGTCGCTAAGTAGCTGCTCGAACACCTTACTAACCACTGGAAGGACAGTTATTGGTCGATAGTTCCGACAATCTTGTGGATCCTCTTTCTCAAAGACGGGCGTCCATTCCTCCCTTTTCCAGTTGTTTGGCCATTGTCGGTTTGTAATACATGAATTGTACAGATTCGCTAGTGGTATAGCAAGTTTTTCCGCTCCATATTTCAGTACTCTGGCTGGCATATTGTCATATCCTGATGCTTTCCTCGTATTAAGTGACTCCAGAGCCTTTCTAACTTGTGCTTGGTTGACTGGATTGGACTCGATCATTGGTTCTGAACTACTCGCCATTTGTATTTGCAAGACACTTGGATGATTATTTAAGTCATTCTCCGAGGAGTTTCTTAAGTTGACATCTCCAATATCGCTTGCTATCGTAGCAAAGTGACCTGCTAATATTTCTGCAACAGTCTCTTGGTTGCTAATGATCTTGCCGTCAACTTTTAAGTTAATATCAGTTCCCAAGACCCCTTTCTTAGATCCAAGAAACGGTTTAAAAGTTTCAAAGAACGTTCTTGGGTTTTCTTTAAGGTCAGACGTCTTTTTCTTCCAGTATTGCCGTACAGCAATTCTTCTTTGTCTGGTTGCCTCCTTTCGACATTTCACTTTCTCTTCCCAGTTTTGTTGTGTCCTTTCATTTAGATACTTCTTAAAAGCTCTTCTCTTTGTTCGGATGGCATTTTTCCATGCGGTCGTCATATAGGGTATGTCTTTATCCCTAACTCGCTTCTTTTTCTGAGGGAAGCATTCGTCCATAATGTCTTGCATGATTGTATTCCAATAATACACCTTGTCCTCAACATCGTCAAACAAGTTTCCGACATGCCAAGGTGCCGTCATTAGTAGGTTATCATATTTCACCGGATCAAAATTTTTGTAACTCCTGAAATGGATGATTCTACGTGAATGTTTCCTCGCTTTTTCTTTCATTACATCATAGATGAGCATATGATCACTTAGAGCAGGGTCGTAAACTCCTCTTCCAATGAACAGGTCTGGTTGGTTGGTCAGCAGTACATCGATAAGCGTGGCTGTTGTTGTTGTTCCGTTTCTATCCAATCTAGTTGGCTGCTTTATAAGACATTCAAAGCCCTGCACCATTTCGAGGTCCAGGAGTAATTTGCTCTCATTTCTCTGAGGCCTTAGCCTATCTAGGTTAAGGTCACCAATGACAGTCACTGCTTCTCTTGGGAGCGACGCCCAAGTACAAATGTGGTTCAGTTCTTCCTCTAGCGATTGCTGGTATGCTCCCACTAATGGCCTAGGTGGTCGGTAAAGGCTAATTATTATCATGTTTATCTTCCCAATTTTCACATCCAGCACAATTGGCTCTAGACAATGGTAGTGACGATCAGGTTTTAATCTCCTACATGGGACTACGGTGGAGATGAGAGCCAAAATACCACCACCGCCTTTTTTCCTGTCATTTCGATATAACGAATAACTAGGCAGGCTAAATTGATCCTTTGGGTAAGTGGAGTCGATTTTTGTTTCACTTATAAGTACAATCTGCGCTTTCAGGGATTTAATCGTCTCAGTCAGTTCTTCAAATTTGTTTTGTGTGTTGTTGATGTTCAAATGACACAGCATTGATTTAATCTATCTTGTCAAGATTTCAATCGACGACTTTTGCCGTGACACCTCAAATCAGGAACAGCAAGTCCGGGAAGTTGCTGTTTCTTCTAGCTAACCACTAATAAGTTGTAGAGTTTACGAAAGAACTCCTCGTAAATACTACAGGCAAATGTCTTAGAGTAGCCCACTTATTTTAATAAAGGTTAATTAATTAACTTACGTGCAACGCTTGGGTATGTCGAAAAATGATTTTCTGGATGTCTCGCTCTCGATATTTAAACAGATTCCTTAGGCACTCAGTATCTTCCTCAAATTTTTCTTTTCCAAGTGCAAATCCAATTGACCGCTGAGAACTAAGGAACATGGTCACTGCCAAGCGAGAGTCTTCGACTTTATCCATGTAGTAAGAGGCTGTGTAGATGTCCGCTAAGATTCCCTCTACTTCTTCTTTTACCACTAGTGCATTGTACATTTCGTTGAAGTTGGGATAACCTGCAGCACAGGAAATAAAGCGTTCGTCAGTTAAAGTCCGGCTATGTCACGAAAGTTATCAAGATTCAAATTAAACAATGACAGCTGCACAGCAAACTGACTTAAACCTAAAAATAACTGCTCAAAACAGAGAAAAGACGGTATAAATTACACAGCGAACACAAAAGGAGACACGAATGAGCAAACTTGAAGAAGATTGAAAGGAATTGCAATAGAGAGGAGAAGTATGACGTAACGTTGACATGACAGCAAAATTTCTAGATCACAACCGCCATGGCGAGCTTAAGCAATGATGACGGCGACGGCAACGAGAACGACAAAGAAGCAATCGGTTTAGCTTAGCAAAACAACAACGTTATACGTGCATCACGCTTTTTGTACATTCTGGGCCGTCGCTGCACGACTGCGGCAGGAAACTTCCTATTTTCACGCGCCCGCTTTATGGAGTTGGTGAACACAGCGCAAAATTATCTTTTTTCTTTTTCTACCAGATACGGTCATTTTGGATTCAACCCCAAACCAGAATTTTGCAAACATTTGACAAATTAAATGAAATTGAATGAGAGAAGTTTGAAACAGTCCCAATTCACTTTTTTAAGTGATGTTGTCGGTTTGTTATCATCCAGGCCCCAGTTTTTCAAAAGCTGGATAACGCTATCCACCGTATAAATCACTATCCAGCGGATACCGCAATTGGTTTCCCTAACACTCATCCGCTGGATAGTGATTTATCCGGTGGATAGTGCTATCCAACGTTTGAACAACTGGAGCCAGGAGTTTTGCTACCATGGCAACGTGCGTAACGGCCTCTCTCTATTGAGGTTGTTTGAACCTGTTAGTAGCCTTGCAGTTTTTCAAAGTTCACTTTTGTCTCCTGTAACCTTTGATATAATATTTTGTTTGACACGAAGCTGTAATTTTGCCATTCTGTGAGATGATTTTCACTTTAACTTAGTACTGCATCTGGTACTGCATCTTGGACAAAATCTATGGTGCTACCATTCAAATGAAACCTCCGAGGGCAAGAACTTTTGCGTTTTGCATAATGATGCTTGATTTTTTTTTTCCAACCCTCTTAGTTGGACTGATTATTTTATAAGAGTGAGAAGGTTAAAACGACTTGATACCTTTTCATCCATGCCCGGATATAGCAACGTCTCTACTCAAACGACTTCAACCGGTATCAGGATTTGAAAATGTACCTTTGACGTTGGCAGCCTGCTTCAAAGCCTCCTCGTATGCATGACTGTCTTCCAAAACTGCAACCTGGGTGAACTTCAAAAGTTAGCTGAGTATCTTAACATTACTGAACTCAATTAAGCCTAGTAAGATATAGAGGACGCTAGGGGATAGGGGATGTGTACTAGATAGCTTCAACGATGATTAACAGTTCTAGCATTTTTGAAAAAGGTTTCAAACTTCGAGATAATGATAATTTACGCACATTCACGCCAGTACATTTCTTTGTTGTTTTGTTGGCATCAATGAACCTTCCTGAGATATCTTCTAAAATATTCGTTGCTGTAAGGGTGTGAGAGTTGTGCAGTTCGTCGTATATAAATAAAGAAGAATAACCTTTTATCTGTTTCGGGAATGAAGTGAAGTTAATCAATTTCCGCGACATTGTATGGAGGTTAAGGCATTGTTAATCCACTGAGTTAACACGAACGTCATGGCTTCGAATTGAATTTTGTTTAATGCCCTGATTTTTTCAGTCTCAGCCGTTTGGGAAGTTCGAGTCTAATTACAGAAGCATTTCACGACTTCAGATATTATTTCCTTATTTATAATCTAGCGAACTCTGCTAACTATTAACCTAACAGCGTTTGGCATTTTCTGGTGCGGAGAGAAATGATGATGAAGATAATGATGGTTCTAACCTTCACTCCCATCAGAGATTTACGATGTAGCATGGATGATGACGTCAAGGCACTTGTGAAAGTAGCGGTGAAAAACGAGCAAAGAATAAGGCCAGTAATAATCCACAGGATGCCAAACAAACGTGCAGGCGCTGACTTTGGAGTCCTGTCACCATACCTAATATCCAGAGAAAGAACTCTCATATATCAAAAGTTAAATATACCAGTTTTAATAAATATTTCCAAACATGAAGATTTGATCTCTATCGTAACTAAAAACTAAAAAAACAAAGTAACCCGGGGTACACTTATCCCATGGGCTGTCTATTAAGTTCCAAGAAATGTGAAAAAGATATTTCAGAAACTAGCTAAAACCTGATTACTGTTAAATAGCTTTTCATTGTTGTTGGCGATTTCCCCCTTCCCCTTTCGTATTTCGTTCAGCTTCGTTCGGTTTATCATTCCTCAGGAAAACAATAGACTACTCGTACATGTGGTCTATACTTGAAATAATCAAATTTAAAGCATTTGAGTTTCGGCGTGCCTTAACATTAATTTTGCAAACCATTAAGCTGGATTTATAGTAGACAAGCAGTTGGTCATTTCTTTTAGCAACAGTCGAGAACTTACATGACTATAATTAAACAAGTATCTCCCTTATCTGTTCTTACCCAACTGTTGTCATGCTCACGAAAGACCACCAAATTCCCTCCATCACGCCTCGTGTGAAAGAGCGTGGAAAGTGACCAGGATTTTTAGATGTGTCCTGTAAGTTAAAGTAACAAAAAAAATAGTTGCAAATGAGGCGATATCAATTATATATGAATTACTTTATTGAACCTTTTCTTGACTACATGGTGTCAGAAGTTCCAAAACGAAATATATACACAATATCCTCAGGAGAGAATAATGGGACGAAGAGGGAAACGCCCAGTCTAGCCCTTGGGATATGTGAATTTTACAAAAGTTATTTTTAGACTTTGAGATTTTAAACTATTGTACACGTAATTCTTAGATGGAACAAAAAATTTTTTGACACTCAGGAAAATATGTATTCAGAAGTTTCAGCGCATGTACGTTTTCAGGCGATCACCATAATGTATTAATTGAATAGGTGAAATGGAAAATATGCGTTTCAAACGTGCCTGAAATTCAATTTCAGGCTCGTTTATTAGTAATAAACCGAACCAAGTGGCGCCGACAAGTCTACGCTTTTCCCTTTTCAAACGCTCGAAAAACGTTTTTGACTCCAAGGTTAAGCAAGAAGAATAGGACGCTACGATATTGGTAACGTATTAGTGTTCAATTCAGTGAAAATAGCAATATTTTACGTTATTGCTCACTTTTCGCACGTCTCTCTCAATATGTCAATACGAAGGACTTAAAAACAGAACTATTCGTTGAAGTTTCCCCTGGCTAGCTATTGTTGACATTTTTGGTTTCCTTTTTAAGTATGGCTGATATTAGCGGCTAAATCTTAAGATCGACCCAAGGAAACTAGTTTTTAACCTGCATAATACATGTCAGTTTAAACTTTAAAGGGGGCTATTTAAGGCCCATTATAATCAATTTAGATTCCCAATCCTTAGATGCGGAAGACGGCGAACTGAAAGCTTAATCTAAATCCAGAATTATTTATTCAACCCCTGTAAATGATTTCTTCTTAATGTCTTTCGCCTTAGGCCCCGTCCACACGTATCCGGAGATTTTTGTATCCGCAAATTTTTTTATGCGGATACACCTAGCGTCCACACGTGTCCGCCGTATACGCTCGGTGTATCCGGAGATTTCTGTATACGCTCTCCAGAGTGGAAATTTCTGTATACGCTGTGTATCCGGATACGTGTGGACGCTCGTATCCGTAGATTTTTGTATACGCTGACGTCACAGTATCAGAACCAGTCTTTTTCCGCGCGAGATTTTCCATGCTCTGTTGACTAATCCTTTGAGATGTCCGAATACGAATCGGATACGTGTGGACGGTCGTATACGATTCGTATACGCTACGTGTGGACGCAGATATTTTTGTATCCGCATAAAAAAATTTGCGGATACAAAAAACTCCGGATACGTGTGGACGGGGCCTTAGTTTTTGGTCTCCACGAAAATAAATATTATAACTGGCAATCCATCTGTGAAAAGAAAAATATCAATTTTAATCGGTTACAGCTCCAAAGAGGTGTGGGTGTGTAGTCAAATTTTTTCTCCAACTATTCATTTGCAAATTTAATAAATGTCTATATAGAGCAGCCCATTTTGACAAGTCATCCAGCCACTATTACAAAACGGGAGTGTCCTACCAGTAAAAAGCCTCCGAGTAGAACCACAAATTACTAAACATACTTCGGTGAGGGTAAAAGGAGGAATGAGTTTGCTGAATGGCATGTGGCACGGCTTGCGGAATGACATAATTATGCGGAATGTAAAATATGGGAAATGGCTCAAAGAAATGCATTTTAACACTGAAAAACATGTGCGCGTCTTTGCCGCGCCTTTTTTTGGTGCCACTTTGAGTGAGCAAAGTTTTTGCTGGTCCATTTATTACTGCTGGTTTAAACCAACAAGGCCGAGCAGAAAGTAGAGATAAGCTTTACTGCATTCGTGTCTATGTAATACTTAATTGATACTTAATTTATTTTTGTTGTTTTGGACAATACTTTCTCTCTTTCTGCCCACCATTATAATAAAGTCAAATGTCAAAACGCTAGAGGGAAAATAACGCTTGTTGAACGTGAAGTCGGGCTATCTACAATTCCAGGAATTATTAATTAATACGATGGATGGATCAGATCATATTTGAGACTAAATGAACGCCTCGAGTCAAACATTAATCTGTAATTCAGAAATCGAGTGAAGCGAACTGCTCTCTGTCTCCTTTCGGCCTTTCCGCGTATCTTCGCACCTTCCTTGTTTGTGTGAGTGTGCGCGTTTGATCGTGAATAAATGCTAAAACGGTAGGAAGGTGAAAAAAAAAAAAAGACACACACTACATTGCCAGGAATCGAACTCGCCCTTCTCCGCCAGCTGTTAGCTTCGCGTGCCGAAACTTAACCAAGCGGCTAATGAAACAAAATACAAGATCCGTTTTCATCTCTGAATATTATGTCACGATCACGTAACCCACCGTCTGAAAAAGAAACACTTCTCACGCCGTTGCAAATACAAATATAGTTAAAAGGAAACCGTTAAGTTAATCGTGCAAACATCTTTTGCAGAAAAAATCAGTTAAGTAGAAGGGAGCATGACCTTCCAAAACATCTTTTCTTCAATGGCCGACTTTTGTGGTGTAGTATCGGTGCTGCCATGCAGCCCGACTAATGAAGGCAAGAGGAATCTTTGTGGTTGTGCGGAAAAGGCTAATCGACAATGAGCCTTTGTGGCTGTTTGATTGTCATCGTATGTCAACGTTAAAACAGCGGCTGCGTTTGCAAATTGATTGGCGCCAAAAAAGGACGCACTTTTTAGTTTAATTTATTTCTTTGGGTCATTCTGCATATATTACGTTCCACATAATTATGTCATTCCGCAAGCCATGCCACATGCCATTCCGCAAACTCATTCCTCCTTTTACCCTCACCGAACGTATTTACCTTCCGTTTTACTTAAGTAAGCAAAATGTTTCTTAAGATATTGAATATATACACACTTACCAGTCCCCAGATTAAAATCCCGGCAAATCCTGCCAAAAGAAAGGTTAAAATAATAACAGGCCAGGTATCTTTCATGGCTTGTAAGACGCGCTTTCGTAAATGTTTTAATGTTTGCTGTTTGTCCACTATGAAAACAACACCTGGCGATTTCAAGACCTCCACGTACGTATGCCCTCCGTAAGAACCATCTTCGCTTCCATGCACGGGAAGCGCCAGATCAGCTTCCTTGTTAACAATGGTTTTATCAAGCTGTTGTAGAGTACCAGCATTTTTCGTGAAGTTGAGTTTAGTAACGGGTATTCCAACGCAAATGTGAAGTCCCTTAGACACAACTTCCTGAAAGATACCTTTCACTCTGAATCCAGGCGAGGAGCCCTGCACGCGTTTTTGGTTTATACCACTGTTATCGTTCGTTGCGTTCATTGCTTCTCCTGGCTGTGACGAGGCCAATCTTGGTCTGTTTTCGTTCTTTTCTAATGGCTCTTCGTCAAACATGACATAAGGCGGCTTCTCCATCCAGGAGATAACCACCGAGTCTGGAGATTCCAAGACAAAAACTGAACCTTCATCCAAAAGACTCACATCAAGAAAATCTTCTACGGACACCGAAAAGCCAACGGACAGAACTAGCAAGAAAACTACCAACAGTGTTTTTAGCTTCATTATGTTTTTCTTCTTATCTCGAAGAAACTAAAAATTAAAATGTTGCTTCCCCCATCCGGGAATTCTATCCTCATACGATAATTGAAATGGGCGGTTCCTGATAAAAGCGCATGTGCAAAGCAATGCAAGTGTCATATTCCCTTGATTTCTCCCTAACTGAATTTTGAGTTTTCGAAATGCAATATGCCTCTGTTGCAAGGTTTTCGACAAAAAACAAACCAGCCATTGTCTCGATATTTATCCTGGTCGGCTGTTTTACCATTCGAACAGAAAAGATGATTTTGGCCCAGTTTGAGTTAAAAATAATAAAAAAGACAGAAAATTAACATGTTCATAGTCCAGTGTTAATTCCGTCTTACTCAAAGAAACCAATTTTGTGAATTACTTCGGGAATAATAAAACAGCCTTGTTAACTTAAACACAAGCAGGGTCTTCAAAAAATTCACCTCAGAATTTTATTTTAACAGCTAAGTAATTACTTACGAAACAGTCCATTAATACGTTGTATGGTTTTAAGAACTATGCTCCTTTGTGAGACTTTTTCGTCGCTTCTTTTTTCCTGTACAAAAATTGATACTATACGAAAAGATCTTGCATCGAAATATAGTTCAAACTTGCTCATGGTGCCTAAAAACGTGCTTAACTATTTATCTGCAAATTGAATATTAAATGGTAGGTTACATGCTAAACAGATCTTTGGCCAGTTTTGTTAAAAAGCACAGGTGTTCACAATAAACGGTTTTCGGGGAGGTATTTTCCCCCTCAGTGTCACCATCATAAATTAACATGTTTACCTTTCAAGTTTGCCATCAAAATAAAAAAATTTTCTGAAGTTTTCTTGAATTTATAAAATGAAAAATTCCGAGAATGTAGATGAGACACTGATCATGGTTCTTGGAGGATAATTCAGTGTTGTTGCTTCTAAAGGAGGTATAAAAGTGTCTAATTGTTTGCTTAAAAGGTTCTATAGTCTCAAGTAACTTGCGAGCAGACGGGCTATATTTTTTCCGCGGTATAAACTGCCTTGCGAGAAGTCGAGCAGTTTTCAGAAAGCTTGCATGTATTTAACCGCTTAACCGGTGATTTTTCACATAGGCTTTTTTTTTCAGTTTTCACTCTTTGACTAAATATACACCTAACTGCAATAACATTGTCATAGAAAAATTCTAAGGAAAAAAATAAAAACTGATGTGAAAAGGCAAATAGGAACTAATTAGGCTCACCGGTAAACCATTATGGGCTGAATTTATTTGCAACACTGACGCGCACCGCCGTCGCATTTGTATATTGTTTTTCAGTTGTGTTTTTGCGTCTGGAAAAAGAAAAACGCCCGAGCTGCAAATGAACGCAGCCTATAGTGATTTTTTGGTCCTTCGTTAAAAAGTTTCAAACGTTCCAGTAGTTTTCTAGGCACTGTTATTTTATGCTGGCGTGAATTCCCTTAGGCCAATAAAATCTATGAATCCTATAATTTTCCATCTACCATACGAACGCATAATGACGTTATGTGCCCGACTTATAATTAATCATTGCTTTTAGTCGAAACTCGAAGAGGATATTCAGCTTGGTAATGAGCAGTGACTCTCACTATTATTACTAGAGATGTCTTCCTGAGACAATGCTCGTTGGGCAAATATTGGTAGATTTTACAGTTATACGTCTTTTAAAAAGTGAATTTAGGTGCGTCACTTATGTGTTGTGCGAGACACTTTGTGTCACACAGACAGGAAGAAAGTCTCCTCTGGCCTTGTTACACCTGTCTGTAAAGACGAAAGAGGCGAATTATCATCGAAGCACGGGACAATTAGTGTTTTTTCAAACATAGTTTTCTTGTTTATTTAAGCAATAGACCAAACTTTCTATGGGTTTACCGGCGTGATAACCCACGCGGGATATTGGGAGAACACGAGAAAAGCTTGTAAATCACGAGCCGAAGGCTAAAACTATCCGTTTTATTGCTGGTTGGCACATGGTTAAGTTTTCCTAGACCAGAACATTTCTACACCAGAAATTCACACAGTTGTTGTCTTTCTCTGCGATTTGGCATCGTCGTGAAATGTAAACTGTTTTCCAGCTTTGTACTTTATAACATCTAAAGCTATGGCAGTAGCGAATTGTGACGCTCAGTAATAAAATGTGGAAACCAACGCTTTTAACATTAAGAAGGGCTGGGTAAGTAACTTTTTCTGTTTTTAGCCTTTCTAAAATCGTTGTTTGCAGATCAATAGCCGGTTTTGTTTATGGCTAGTGGTCCGGATGCCTTTTTCTATGGGTTTACCGGTATAATAAACCATAGGTTTTTGACCAATCAGATCACGCGTACTATCTCAGTTATTTTATAATTGCTAAGAAATGTAGGTTGAGCAGCAAGTCCGTCCGAATGTTATGACGACACCTGAAGAACATTTCTTATAAAGGCTGAATTACCCACTTAGTTCTTCTTTACAATATTTTGACAAAGTCATAAAAAAGTTGCTTTAGTTAACAGCATCATTAGCTATTATCTTGGACGGTTACTATAATTGTCTTATGCCGACGGGTGTTATTTCCTGCAGATGAAACATCGATATATACATTCGTAGGTGGTAATATTGTACATGTATTTTAGGTAAACACTGTTATCATATATAGCCTTACGGCTACGCAAATGAACACCATTTCTCTGTGATCATAAATTAGCGTCTAAAACATTATACGGAACGTCCTTTTCAATTATACGAACGGGTAACTAGTCACGCGTTTGTAAAGAAATTATGGTGCTCCGTTATGTAACTGTAAATCAAAAAAGCATAAAAATTGACTTCATTTCAGAGTATTGTATATTGCCCACACGTAGTAAGGGATTCGCTGAAACATAACTTATTAAAATTTGGGGGAGAAACGTAAAAGGTGATTGTTTTGTTTGTTTGTTTGTTTTTTTTTTTGCCACCAAACTATCTCTAATCTGTCTGCAATTCACAGAGACTCTCGCAGAGATGTTAGGTATACTGATAAGTTTTATTTTTTATGTACTCAGCTTTTGAAGGCCTTAATGAGGTCTACAATGCTTTCATTAATGAAGAGTCAATAGAAGGAGTGATGGAGGAGGTGTTGACAGCCATGGAACATATCAAGAATAGGAAAAATCCATCATTATCTGTTGTCCATTTCTTTGAAGTGATGTGAAGCATGGCTATGGAGTGGTTTTTCAGAAACCATCCCTTCTCGGAAAACAGCAAACTTGACAAGTGCATCAATGATGTTGTCCAGTTTGTAGTCAAAGATAATAAATATGCTGATATTTCCAATTTAGTTTTCGTCGATGACATTAAGTTGTGATACTAATTTCTTGACATGTTTACCCGGGATGATATCGATCGAGAACTCCACTCTCTCGAACGTTTAGAGCTTAAATTTGGCTTAAGTTCAGAATTTTTCGACAAAATACCTGTCGTGCTCTATCGTGTTTTCAGGTCTTCTAAACCGTCTTTTTATGTCCTGGCGTCTTCATTCATGACATTTTAAAACTTCGTCGCCATCTTGACACTGAAACGTACAGAGGGTTGCCATAGCAATTTTGTAATTTCACATGCGAAATGGTGTCAGAATTCAACATTCGTTACTCTTTAAAAATGGCTACCAGCCGTTAGAAACTCTCAATCTTTAATCTCAGAGTGAGATTTTTGACTCCAATACTGCAATCCCTTTGTAAATGAAATTCATGCCTAAATTATGAGCGGAACGCGCTGATCAAAAAACACGTCAACAACGGGAGCCGATTACTATCGGCTCCTGGTGCTAATTACTATGATGGCTGTCAAACTTCAAATGTTTGGCGGCGAAACATGTCACGTTCACGTGAAAGTAGACCACACGGGTCACGGAAACAACAGACAAAAATAAGCTACGCAGCACGCGCGCGAACTTAAAATAGATTTTAAAAAAATTATCATGGGGCATAGCGATTCGCTCTCTTAGCTCAGTCTCTCTTGTAGGTAAAAAGTCTCGGGAAATTATAAGGATTTGGACAAAACGCGCGTGAAGTTATCCTCTCATTTCACCCGTCACCATTTGATTACACATACTTATTATAATAATTATTATTATTATGATTATGATGATGATGATGATGATGATATAACAAGAAATTGCGTTTAAGTTTATTGCCTCTAGAGAAACTACGTGACATTGTTTTAATCCCATTTACGGTAGTCCTTAAGCGACCGCAAAGATGTCGGGTATCGTGAATAAGGTCTGACTATTGCTCAAACGAGCCAGGTGAATAATCCAGAAAAATTTTGGTGAGGTTTGTGAAATGCTTCCTGAAACTGTTTGCGGAATTACAATAATTCGGGCCAACCTAATTCAGATAAGAAATGAATGATAAAAAGACACCTAATTCAAGGCCCTTGTTCCAGACAGCACCCAGTTCACACGCAAAAGCGTAAAGGTTGATATCTATACCAATCTCAGATCAAGAGGAGTAAAAACTAAACCCCTTTTATTTTGATGGTGCATAACGTATTTAGTGTAACTTAGAGTACCGTATTTATTCGAATAAGCGCCCAACCTCGAGTTAGCGCCCACCTCGAATAAGCACCCATCCTAAAGGCAGAAAAAGTTAATAAGCGCCCAGCCTCGAATAAGCACCCACCCCCTCCTCCTCCCAATCAAACTCAAATAAGCGCTCACCCCCACCCCACCCATTTGAGTGAATAAATTCTAATAAGAGACTTCCCTAAGGATGGAGTTTTCTTCAGAGTATTTTAAAGAAGCCTTGCTTTGTTACTTATTCGCGTTTTGTTATTAGCATTTATAGTTTTGTTGCAAAATAAACATACTTCACTTGCTGAAAATGGTGAAAATTTAATAAG